GCCCGAGCGGCGCGCGTGCGCGGCGCGTGAGGCGGCGGAGGAGGCGGGGGAAAATGGCGGACAGCAGAGGCGAAGGGGAGAAGGCGAAGCGGCCGCTGCCCGCAGGAGGTGAACATGTAGCGCCTCTCGCCGCGGAGTTGTGGGGTGGGAAAGGGGTCCGGGCTGCTCCAGAGGAGGTGGGAGGAGAAGGGTTGGTCCAGGTGTGCCTCACCCGGCCATGAGTTGCCTGGGCCAGGCCGTGCGGTGCCCGGCCCTGCGGGGATAGTGGGTGGACCGGGCCTGAGGGGGCTGCGCTGAAGGAGAGGCCGAGTCGGGCCTGCTGTGCTCAGCTTTAAAGGCGCTTTTGTGAAAATACACCAGCTTCTCTTTGTCCATGCGAATGCGCTATTTCTCTCTCGTAAAAATACATGGAGTACTTATGCCGTGTTCTGAGAGAAATACGACTGTTGCTGGCTGCAAGGATGAAGACAGAGCCTTAAAGATTAACTTTCAACAGTTATGATACCTTTTTTATTAATGGGTACAGTGAACGTTCTTTAATTGCTGTTTTAATAATTTGGGTTTTTTTGGTTTTTTTTACCTGGCAACAATCTGTAAGTTTCCTGTTTGGTCTTACAGTATTTGTATTATGACTGGACATTCCTGTCATTTCTGCACTATTTGGTTCGAAAATTCTAATTGTATGTTTCTTTTCTTCTTTCTTTACTTAAAATTGAGAGGACAGTGTGTTTGCTTTTCTTTTTTGGTGTTCTTTTGTTTGTTTTAGTTGGTTTGTTTTGTTGGTTTTTTTTTGTTTCAGTATATCTGTAGAGAGAGGGCATTTCTTAGACCTTTTGAAAAATTAAATTAGGCTTGTAAACCAATCAGGATAGCCTCAACAGTGGATGTTTTTTTGATAATCGCTGACATTTGAACAATACTGATTTTAGGTAGTTCCTTGACCCTTGGTTCTCTGATGGGCCTTAGTGGCTTTTTGGTTTTTATTTTTTTGGTGATAGTACTGGGTGTTTTTTTGTATTAGTAATACAGTAACTGGACAGTATCAGTAATTCATCCTGCCCTGCGTACTGTTCTGTGTGCTGAAACATGATCTGAATGAGCAGAGAAACCATGGCTCTGGGGAGGAATGTTACCTGAGGATTTTTGAAAGCAATTTGCAGTCTTTAGCTTTTGCCAGGATAGTGGGGCTTATATTAACATTTACTTATTAATGTAGTTGTAACTGGTTTGTTCCCACATGCCCCAGTGGTCGCACTCCCAGGGACAACAGATCCTGAAATGCTGTGCAGCTGGCACTGTCACTCTTGTCACTTCAGCCACCTGGACAGTGGAAGTTGTCCACTTGTGTGGTTTGTTGATACACATGAGTAAAACTTACCTGTGAAGTAGGATGCTGCAATCCATGAAAAGGGCACTAGCCAGTCTAGTTTGGAAATGGTACTGGTGCTTTCTGTAGGTGAAGTATGACCACCAGGAAACAATAAAGCAGCCTTGGTATCTTGGAATATTTATATGGACTGGCATGGGAGATGGTAGAGACCTGTTTAATGGTGAATATGTCTGCATTTCTGTTTCCTGCAGAAATCAAACAGCACAACGGCTCCCTCCCCACTGTCCCCAATTGTCCTGTGACCCTTACAGCTCTCTTGTCAAGCAACAGCTTTTCTTTCAGCAGTCTGGAGTTCATCCTTTGGCAAGCCCAGTAGAAATAACACTCAGAATGCAGTGCTGATAGGAGCTGATCCTGAGAGAGTTACTCTTTAGGATTTGGTGAGAAAACAGATTGTACTAGGCTTCACCTTGTGCTTAGCAGCATTTGAGAATTTGCAGTTAAAAGAAGTAAGCTGTAAGAGGCAGTGTAATAACCTTCAGGCTAGCAGAAGGTCCTTTAGTCCTAGGACCTTTAGAAGGTCCTAGACCTTTAGTCTAGGAAACTGGACTGGTTCCCTGTGCCCTGAATTTTGGGCTGCTATGGATTTTGTTTGTCATGAAAAAGAAGACTTAACCCTGTGGTTCCAGTGCTTTTAAGGCCAGTGAATCTTTTATCTACACTTGACTCACAGTCTCTAGTGTACTGAGGCTGGGCTTGGAACATTCTGTTTAGTGTGATTTCATGGACTAGCTGTAAGGATGCTCTCTCATAGTATCTGCAGACTGCTGTTTGGTAAACTGTGCTAAGACAGCTACCAGTGCCCAAGGTCACTTGTGTAAATTTTGATTGTTTCTCTTTCCTCCTTTGTTTTTCATTTTTAAATCTATATTTTCTGGATCAAATTTTAGTACCATTTTTTAATACAGTGAAACTGATTAAAGTTACAGATTTTTTTTTGTGATCTGCCATATTTCTGAAGGTGAATGATAAATCAGTTTTGGTTTCAATCACTTACTATCTTGATACCCAGAAAAGTGGGATAGAAGTGTTATATTCTGCTGCTTATGATTTGGGAAATAGCAGACAAATATATATATAGATTGAGTCCCTAGTTTTTCTCTTTCCTGATGTTGTTTGCTTCTTTTTTTTTTTCTCAGAACTACAGTCTTGTTGACCCCCAGTTCAGACTTTCTTCTCTCTCATTGCTTCATCCTAGTAGCTTTTTGCATTAGCAATGCAAAGAGCTTTATCCCCTGATGGTCGGAATTTGCTGTGCATGGAAGGTGCTGTTCTCCATTTGATGTGATGAGGAACTTGTGCTAGCTCCAGTTGTTTTAAACTGCTACTGTGAGCACTTCCCTGTCCATCCCTTAATGTGTTTTGGTTTTTCCCCCCTTCTGCTACTGCAGTGATTTGCTTATTTCAGCAGCAGGGAACTGTCTTTTTGCTGAAGCATTTACTCTGTTCAGTATGAGTTTTCCAAGGACACCTTTGTCTCTTGGTGTAGCTGAAGAAGCTGATTTTATAGGAATGGAAGTGTTACTTGAATGTTTTTTTCTCTGTGGATCACTGTTCAGCTGCTATGTTTTCCATGACTATACAAAACCAGAAAAGATGAAATCTATATATATGTTTTTTTAGTGCTGATTCCTTCCTCAAGCAGAGCTTGGCAGATATATTACAGATGAGATGCGGACAAGCAGTGACTTGAAACATGATTGAGACAGCCGGCCTCACTCTAGTCACTCCCATGATTTTAGAGTTGTGCCAGACAAGCCTAGAGACTGGCATGGACATGATTTTGTAGAGATTTAGTAGAATTAATTTTAACTTAGATTATCTACTCTAGATTTGGAATTGGGATTCCTATTATGAAAGCTTATCTGTGGCAACTTAAAAACTTAAAAAGATTTAGTCATCTACATTTAATTTACTACGTGAACTTTGACTTCCATACTAAATAAAGAGATGGTGCTTCAAGATTGTTTTCCTGGCTCATACAAGAAGTTCTTTACAAGTAGTGGAGTGCTTGCAGTTTCTTCTCCTCTTTGTGTTTTGCTGTCCACTAAATATACATTGGTGGAAACTGCTGTCACTAAAAACATCTTACCTATTGCACCCAAAGTATAATGCTTTTTGAGGTTGCTGCTCCCATCAATCTGCTCAGTAAAAGTAGCTCATCTTGGTAAGTTGTTTCGACTTCACCAGGACCTGAAGAAGAGGCAGAAAAACCTGTGAAAACTAAGACTGTTTCTTCCAGTAATGGAGGAGAAAGTTCGAGTCGCAGCGCAGAGAAACGGGCAGCTAATGAAGAAGCTGAAGACTTCACCACAAAGCCTGCTCCTGCCAAAATGTCCAAGTTTGGATTTTCCATAGGCAGTCAGACAACAAAGAAGGCATCTGCAATATCCATCAAACTGGGAGCAAATGTAAGTTACTGAGAGCTTTTAATTTTAGGGAACTGAGGGAAAAGGGAAGTACTTCGGGGAGGCTTCCTTGCAGAAGGAAACCTTGAATTCCCATGAGGGTAACGTGGGTAAAGTTTAAGCAGGCATTTCAGGGCCAGCTAGTCATGCATGTGTAAGTACTTCAAGGTGATTAATATCAGGTCAGTAGTCTCAGGAATCATAAGACTTGATTGAAATTAATTGTAGATCTTTAAACGTACAGAATAATTTTGTAATGAGGTTTGATAAGTCTGCAATAATTTCCCGAGGGAAGTGAGCAGACTTGTTAAGCTGTTGAGGGTACTTGAAATGCCTGCCGGGAGCTTCATTGCATAGGATGCTTAAAGCTAGAAGAAGACATCTAGATGGCTTAATAGGTTGTCTTCCACTCCAAAGGTTTTATTTTAGCAGGGGGAATTGTAGCGTATTTCCATGACTTTGCAAGGTCAGTATGATTTATTTGTGTTAAATGCAAGAGATGGGGCTTTTTTACATAGGTTTCTAAGAATCCACTTGATCCACTTGATTTTCCAGCACAAGATATCCTTGTCCTTGTTCAGGTGGGAATCTGATAACTGCCTGTACTTCCAGAGTAGTCCTCCACTGGCTTGGCCAAGGACAAGCCAGGGGCTGCATCTCTGTTTAATAGAGTTCATTTACAATTCCCACCTGTTTTTGTGATGGATATGTTATGAGTAGTTGTCTGCACCAAACTCAAACTCTAATCATGAAAGCCTTGTACCTGCAATGCCAGCATTATAGAGACCTGCAAAGGATTAAAAGGGTGCTCGGTTATTTTGAGATGGAAGGGAGATGTGGGCTGGCAGCATTCTTGGGTATAAATGCAGTCAGGTCAGCTCAGACTTTGGAAAAATAAAGGCTTCCTTCTCTGAGCTTCTAACATGCTTCAGTTTCTCATGTCCAAAGTGACAATAAATTTGGCTCAGGATTACTGGTTCACTGAATTTAGTGGGTGACTGACAGTGCACCAGATGGTACAGTGCTGAAATTTACCCTGTTTCTTTTCAGTCATTTTTACTCCCCTAGTACATTCCCCATTCCTTGGGCGCAGATGCGTTAAAAATGGTGTGGTATTTATATGTAGTGCAGTATCAGTAAAGAACAGCTGTAGGCAGTTGCATAAGGGCTATACTGCAGTACCAGCTTCTAAGAGTGTGTTTTAAAGAATTGCCAGTAAAGGCAAAATGGAGAAAGCACTGTACAGGATTGATTTAGTACCACAGTGGCAATCTGTTACTAGTAGCTTGTTTTTTTCTCAATGATGTTGAAGTAACTTTTGGTATCACTGCTGTATAACATGTAACAGGGACAGCTTCCTACACTTCAAATAGAAGAATGAAAAATTGGAAATAAAATAAATACTCTTGAAAGGAACTTTATATTAACCAGACTCTGTGGTAGATACTGTTAGTATCTCTACTGTTAGTTTAAAAGCACTAAATTGTTTTAAGCCAGAAAGCTGTCATGTTGTTAAAATAGAAGAAAATAAGCATATTAATTTTTTCTGACATTGATGGATAAGAATATCCCAAAAGAATAATGGAAATAGTGACACAGTAAAATTTTGAATACCACAAGTTGTTCAGGTTCTTGTTTAATTGTTCACGTCATGCACCAATGGCTGAGTACCCCTGCAGTGTGCTAGAAAGTTAAGACCTGCATGTGGAGTTGTAATATGAGAGGGTTCAGCTTGCTGCTCGCAGTGTTCACACATAAATGAGCAGTCGTTTTCCTTTTTCATTAGAGAATCCTTTATATGCTTGATTCAGACAGAAACTTATCCCCCTGGTTGCCCATTTTAGTGAAAGTGTTTGACTTAATTTTACCAAAATACTTTAAAAGCCAAGGGTGGCTTTTTTGAGTTAGTAGACTTACGTTACTTGTGCATTTTGTCTTTTCCAGAAGCCAAAAGAGCCTGTTCCAACCCTGGCTCCAAAAACCCTTTCTGTAGCAGCAGCTTTCAACGAAGATGAAGATGTGAGTAATAAGCCAGTGATCAACACAAAATACCATTGGTGTGGTAGGCAGGGAGAGTGAGTTATTTATGGTTCTTAACATAAATGTCAGGAATTTTCAACCTAGAAGCATCTCTTTTGACTCTGATTGAGAACGTACAGTAGCTCTGTGTTGGTTCAAGAAATCATTAAAATGTCAATAACTTCTCCCTGCAAATGAGATGCACAACATAATTTGGATTAATACTTGCTTTCTCTAGGCTTGGTTAGGGGGAGACAAAGGGAAGTTCTACTTCTGGTTTGCTAAATATTTTGTTACATTACTGCTCCTTCTTTCATAGAGTTGAACGGAGGAATTTGTATTTTGTTCTATAACCGTGCAGGACCTCCATTTTGTCCGAAGTCACTTTGCTGTCCTGTAGGGCTGTAGTCCAGCCTTTATCTTGTCAGGCATTTGAAGTGTTGAAACACAGGCACTCAGCCCTCCTCTGACCTCCTTTGTCCCTGCAGAGCGAACCAGAGGAAATGCCCCCTGAAGCCAAGATGCGCATGAAGAACATCGGAAGGTAGGGCAGCTTTGAACTGTGCTGTGGAGAAGGGTGAGCGTGTGAAGTACCTCCCTGGCTCAGGGCAGATCTTGAGGATGGTTTGAGAATACAAATACCTACAGGGAGGTAGAATAGGTTGAAGAAGTATTTCTCCAGAAACAAGATTTTCAAATGTGTCATCTACAGGTTAAAAGTAGTATATTTGCATTTGAACTTTGAATCTTCTTTACCTTTTTTGAGGAAGTAATTGAGTTTGCATTAAATAGAAGCTCATTTGTTTGTTGTAAATGTAATAGGTAGGAATTCCTGCTTGTCTCTACTTTGTATTTTTCTGGTTCTCCCTTTTATAAATAGCCTTGAAGTAGGTAGTCTGGTCACATTTTTAAACTCATGTGCAAGGGGAAGATAAGAAACATCTCTCAGAAAAACAAGGACTTTATAATTAATCATGTAATTCTCCTGCTTGCCACAGACACGGTAGGGGACCAGTCCTAAAATAAGTAGATACCTTTTCAGAGGAGACATCACTGGAATTAGGGGTGAATTTTGAGAATTTGTATGTTAGAGGTGTTTGTCATGACTTCTTTTAAAGTCAGTCATTCTGGAAGTTCTCTAGTATGATAGTTTTTTTTTTTCTCCAGTAGCAAATTTGAATCCTCAGTTCTTAATCTTGGTAGCTGGCAGCAATTACTGCCACTGCAGCCTCCTCTCCTGCCCCATCTCATTGCTCTGTTTTGACGTACTGGGTACAGATCAGTTCTGTGGCCAGTTTACAGTTGCTAGGAGTGAGGGCTCCTGATGTAGCAGAAGAAAATGTGTGGTAGTTTCTGGGGCAGACAGGGCTCAAAATTGTCATTTTCAGGGTTACATGGCACAGTCTACTATAGTTGAGCTGGCTTTCTCAACTATTCTTGTTTTACTTTTCACAGGGATACACCAACCTCAGCAGGACCAAATTCGTTCAATAAAGGAAAGCATGGATTTTCTGACAACCAGAAGCTATGGGAACGAAATATAAAATCTCATCTTGGAAATGTCCATGACCAAGAAAATAACTAAATGATGTGGATTACAAGTTGGGTGTTTTGGGGGGAGGGGAGGGTGTAACATTAAAGGAACAGTTTCCTTTTTTAAGAATGGTATGAGACTATCTTTGGAGCCACTTTTTTAAGACTTTGAGTGGTACACTAATAAATGAGTTTGAAATTAGAGGTAATTTATGTTTTGTATACAGATTTCAAGGCATTTGCTAATTTTGTAGTTCATGTGATTAGTTTCAAAAGGTTACAGATAATAAAGAAATTGGAGTGGTACCTTTTTAAGATAATTTTTTTGTCAGTGATTAAATAAGGTGGATGAAAAAGGTTACTGTCTCTTTAATCAGGTTTAAATTGAATGCTCTTGCATTCTAACTTCTGGCTCCCTCTTCATAACAGGAGAAACACTTGACTCCTAGGAATTCTGCTAACGAGAGCAAGCATTGTCTTGTGCTAGAAGTGTTACTGGACTATTAATTTGAATATAATCTTACACAGGAAATAATAAGAACCTGGATTTTTTTTCTCCTTGCAGTCACCTTTTGTTAAGTCTCTGCAAACTAGGAATTATGTTGCTCTGAGTGGCTCTGGTAACTTAGCTCTGATTTTGTTTAAAACTTCATGTAGGATGTGTAACCTTCAGTGGCCTGTTCTGTCCTAAGGAAATGGGCCTTGTCTGTATATTAGATACAGTCTGTAAAGAATAGTCACTACAAAGGTAAAATCAGTCTTTTCAGTGTGCTCCTTTTAAATCATTAGCCTTGAGTAGTGCTTGTTAGCATTTCCTAGTGGTACACAAAAGCCACCACCAAAAATACAAGCTAATGTACATTAAGCTTCACCTTTGGTTGAAATATTTTTCTTTACTATGCCTAGAAGGAATAAAAGCCACACCAAAAATCGGTAACTCACTGCTTAAGTATGAAAAATCTAAGATGCACTTTCCCTGTCTTGCCATTTAAGACAAAATGCCTTGATGCCTATGACCTCAGTGGACACTATCAGGTCGAGGAATGCTGTATCACACTCCTGATGTTTCTAACAAGTGTCAACTTTGGAAATAAAACTTGACCTTTTCCTGCCTGTCTTCCTTTTGCAGTGATTTTCAGCAGTGACATGAATCTGGTCAGTTTATAGCTTCCATACTGCAGGAGGGTGCTGAAGGATTTCGGTGCTAGTAATGACTCTCTAAATTTCAGTCTAAATTTAGATTGTGTATTTGTAGACCATTTTACTAACAGAACTGGTTAAATATAACATTATCAACAGCAACACCATCACCTGCTCCAAGAGCACCACCTCCCCTACCCCAAACAAACATAATATTTTTTTAAAACTCAAATACCTGATAGTGTCAACCACTAAATTAATTTCAGCTGGAAAATGGTTGTAGCATTCAATACATTAATTGCTTTCATCTTGCCTCTGAAACTTTTTTTTGTATTTTTGTATTGTATGTGTAATCTTTTTTCTTTTGAAGTCTGATGCAGTTGAATACCTGTAACTGTTTTCTTTTAAAAGCCTTGTTATAAACTTAACATAAAAATGTATACATTATTTTTCTTCCATAGCAGAAATATTTGGTTTATTTAAAACTAAACACAGTTTCAAAAGTGACTTTCAGGACTTCCAAAACCAATTTGGGCATTAATGGAACGAGCCAAGACAAACTTTTCACTTTTTTTCATCACATGTGGTTATGTTTGTCTAAATAAATCCCTTTAAGATAGTGGTAATCCATAGTGAATAGCTATTTTCTCGTGCTCCTCAGTAGCTGGTTCATACTCTATCAATCACTTGTATAGGAACAAAGCAAAACAGAACTCCAAATAATAGAACGACTCAGACATCTGTTCCTTGTTTTAATTAATTTACCACCACTTTTTTCCACATCTTTGTCTCAACTAGATGTTCATACCCAGAATTTCATTTAGGAAAGAGCTAGGCAGAAGAGCAGACATGCTATGAAATACCTTTCATGCAACTGAGAGAGCAAAAGTTATATTTATCTTCTTACTTCTATGGTCAATAAATAATCCTAGACCTTGTGAGAGACTGCGGAAACTTGTAGATCTCAGCTGAAGGTGAACCATGATCCTGCCTCACCCAATGCAAGTCTTCTCTTCCTTCTCTGTGCTTCATGGGAGCAAATCCATCAGGATGGCCTCAGTCTCCTCAGGACTGGGGACCAAACAAGCTGGATTTTGTCACTCCCAGCTGTCTCTCCTGGTGTTTGATGTCTGACGCTTGTGAGGACAAACTGATCTGAACAATATCATCAAGGCAAATGTTAGCTGGGATTAGCTTGAAGCTGTAGGCTCTTGTTAGAGTAGTCATGTTTTTTGCATGCAGAGAGCCCTAGTTTGTTTTTGTTCTTGGTGTGATTTTTTGTTTGGTTTTTTTTGTTGGTTGGTTTGGCTTTTTTATCTAAGGATGTCCAAGAATCCTGAAACTCGTGATAAACGATCTGATGTAGCTATGGTGAAGTGCTTCCTGGAGGTGTGCTGAGACCTTGAACTGCTTAATACAGCACACTGTGTGCCTGTCAGTGGTTGAAATGCCAGCTTGTGTGGTTTTATCCCATGGGGCTCATACTTGCTTAGCAGGAATTGACACCTGAGCAGCCTGCAGAGCATTGATGACATAAGGTAAAGATGTGAGTAGTTACCCAGTAACCTTCTCTATGCTACCCTGTAGCTGGCCTGTTCTGAGCCTGCTGGCTTGTAAATGGAGCTAAACTTACCTAACTATATTAAAATAACCAAAAAGCCCAACATCCCACACCCTCAAAAAAAGAAAAGTCCTCACCCAAAAATCCAAAACAAAACAGCCCCACCAAACAGCGCGGTGAACTGTGGTGGGCGTGTTTCAGGCAGTGCTGGGCCTAGCCCCTTACTAACTTAACTCCTTTAAAGCATGGCAGGTGCGTTGTCCAGATTCTCAGAAGTTTGTATCAGCAGGAAGGAGTCCCCAGCCTGTCTCTAAGGTAACTGAGGGGTGCCAGTTCACAGCTTGTGCCATATTGGAGATGACCCAATCCCGGTTTTCACTGAACTTTGGCAAAACCAGCTGTGGTCCTCCTGGGAGCACCATGGCAGCAGCCACAGCTGCCATCAGGCCTGGTGAGCTTCATTTCCACAGCTGCCAGGTTTGCAGAGCACCCCTTTGTCAGAGCTCACAGGACTCTGCTGGCTTCCATGTGCTGCCAGTGGCTTACCAAAGTTGGCTTTTCAAAGAGACTTGGAGGAGGACGTCAGCTTTTAAGAAAATGGCAACTTCTGTTTCCTGAAGAGGCAAATGGGTTTTAAACTATTTACTTACTCTGTAAATTAAATATAAACTATTTTATTCACTGGTTTCACTAGAACTCTTTATAGGCTGCTGTAAGATAAGATAAATCCATTTGGAGAAGCTACTGGGTTTCAAGAAGGCTTTTTATCTGTGTATTTGGTAGCCTTAAACAGTGTTCTGCAAAGAGGTTCGGTTTATTTTGGTATTCCATATATATCTACAAGTTGAGGTATGCTGAGTAGTTCTGCCCTTAAGCTACAAAAGGGAAGGTTATGTTCTAAAGTCACCAGAATTTGTTGTCTAGTGTCTCTGGCACAACTCATTAGAACACCATAAATATTGGATAATTAACAATTTGCTTTTTTACTTTTTCCTATTAACACATCCTTTATTTCTTCTAGTTTCATTAACAAAAAGATTTACTGTTGTCTAATTTTGAAATATTGGCATCTTATATAGTGCTTACTTAGGAAAGCTGCTTGTGTCTAATAAGGTAGAGCCAGTGCCTGGGGGTAGGTGCATAGTTATCCATGGAATTAAAAGCACTGAACATCAAGTGTTACACTGTAACTCTGGACACAGCATGTTCAGTTTGTGTTTGCAAAGTTGCATTTAGCAGTCTGTAGTGGTGGGAGCTCAAGATTTACTGCCCAAACCTCTGCAGCTCTTTGAGGTCTGGACACTCTCCCTGAGGCTGGGTGAGGAGGCAGGAGTGGCTGGTAGTTGGAGCATGGACTCCCTGATATGGTGGCATGGAACAAGGTCTGGAAAACCTCTGCTTGGCGTGTGGCTCAGTTTGTAAATTTGCTTCTTGGGATTGGATTTCCTGATGAGATATATATGCAAAAAGTGTAGCAAGAGCTCCACCGAAACTTGAAGTCATGAGCCTGTATTGATGTTTTCCTGGCAGTACAAGTTATTAACCTAAAGTTAATGAAAGTTATAATAAAAATGTAATTATCTCTCCTTTTCTCCCCCAGCTTCCCCTAATTTGTGAACATGGTAGTCGCATATAAGGTGTTGGCTGATGCTCAGTAGGTCAGTACAGAATTACAGCAGTGGCTCAGTGACAGAAGTGTGGCTGTGGGAGCCCTCCCCACTCACAGCAGCTGCGATCTCTCCAGCAGCAGGCACTGAACAGGTAACTGAAACACGGGCCTAAAGGGCTGCTTTAGGTCTGTTACTCAGGTGCTTGTGTGACAGTCCTGTTCACATGTAAAATTTAAAGCCGTGACAAGAAGAGCTTGCACTACTCCACATCTAAAAGCACCGCTTAAGTCAGCAATGCTGGAAGGCAGGGTGGTTTACCTCTGAGAGACAAAGCCTACAGCATGAAACTTTTCCTGGGGGAACACCTTTCTGCTAAATCCTTTAAAGGTCACATAGGACTTGTAAGGATGCTCCCCAACAGCCCTGCACTTGAGGGTGACAACAGAGACCAGGGCCTCTGGCCTACAGCAGCTGGAACTGTTCTGCAGGAGAACAGGCCTTGATCAAGAGCTGCTCCAGAGATGCTGGGGGGTCCCACCATGTCCTCTGGCTGCAGCTGTAAGACTGGCTCCTGAATGTCATCATTATACACTGGTGCTGTAGAAACTCATGGTGCTTCCTTTCACAGCAAGGAATGACGTGATTGTAACTCCAGTAGAAACAAAGCTGGGCACAAAAATTATCCACACATCACTTGGCTTTTGTGCACCTAGAGTTGCATCCCTGTGGAATTGTTCAACAGGAGCTGCCCTTACTCCTTTTAGCACTCAGCCTTTTGAAACACCCACTTCTGTTTAATTACAGACGTAGCTTGGTTACTCACAGAGGAGTTAAAAAGCTCCTACTGTTCCCATAGGATGAACTTCAGAAGATAATCAGGCTTTCTGCAACATTGGTGCTGCCTTGAAGTTGCTGTAACAGCAAAGGAAAAAGCACGGGACACTTCCCAGACCTGGAGGCAGCTGGACAGCTCATCCTTCAGTCAGGAGAGCGACACTGGAGGGCAACT